GCCATTGGATCGGGTTCTAGTGGCTTAATGGTCTACGGGCTCGCTAGTCTTGTAACCAGAAGGTCGTGGGTTCGAACCTCCTCAGCGGGTGCGTACTGATGAAGAGTCTGAAGTTAGGCTGCTCCCTGTTGGTTTTCCAATGTGGTTCTGTAAACTGACGTCAGCTCATGATGAAATCCTGTAACTAAGATGGATGGTTTTCAGAAATTCTATGAAGGACTTGTCTAGTCAAACGGCTGATGTAACTGGCTCCTCAGGAGCAGTTAAACTGATAAATACACATGGAAGAAGCGAATCATGGCGGTTTGTCTTAATTTCTTAAACTGAGTATTGGTTGGCTAGTGAATATACGGCATAACTTAGCTACATTGAAAGTCCTTTTGAGGGCTCTTCTCAAACGTAGTGATAAGATTTCACTAATGACAACATCTGTGAATTGCTATCTCAGGAAGACTGATTTCTTGGAAACTGTGGACGCCTTTGGCCCTATTCTTGCTGAGTTCATGTGTTTGTCCAAGAATTTCTTCAGACATCCGTTTCTACTTAGTAGATCATGAATATTACCGAGTTCTCCGTTCAGTGTTTCATTTGAACAGATAACTTTAGCCTTGTGAACCAGATATCTAACCAGATTACGTTTGTATTGTAGAGGTGTAAAACTTAGGAAATGAGTATACTGTCCAGTTGAAGTAGGTTTTCGACGTATTCGTCTACATATTGTTCCGTTTGTTCGTTTAGTCATTAAGATGTCCAAAAACGAAACAGAGTAATTTTCTTATTCTTTGGTGAAACTTATGCCAGGATGCGCTTTATTAGATTTTTCCGATATGTCTTTAGTCCCAATTTCTTTTGTCAAAAATATGAATGTATCATCGACATATCGGCAATAAGAATCAAGATTTGGATTGGACACTAGTAAATAGTGTGACGTGTCTAGTCCTTTCTTTGGTGCAGACTGAATTCTATCAGTCAGGTTTTGCAATGTGGCTACCATTCTAGGTAGCTCGCCATCACTCTACACATTGATCTGATGATATTAGATAGTTGGAGGCAATCGGCAGGAGGTCAATCGTGAGAGAGAATATAAGTCATCTACCGGTATACCATATAAAGAAGGGACATCTGAGACCCTACGTAGGATTCTAAATAAAGCAGGTATTAGGGTGGCATTTAAACCTACAAACTCACTCAGGTAGGACAAGCTGTGTAGGTTAAAGGACCCAGTTGACCCAATTAGACAAAATAATATTATTTACAAAATACCATGCAATGACTGTGGGCTAAGTCAACTACATAGGTCAAACTAGTAGGTCAGGGGTGGTCAGATTGTCGGAACATAAGAATTTAGCTAAGGTGAGAATGGTTGACCCCGAGAAGATAAGTAATTTAGAAAAAAGCTCAGCAATTGCAATGCATGCATTAACACACAACCACACAATAGGGTGGGAGAGGGTTAAATTTTGAAAAGTAATCTAGATAGGTGGAGAGAGAGATTGATTACTGAATTCTCGTTCATCGAGTCTACACCAAACACATGCAATTGGAATGAGTCATCACTCATACCTGAAATATGGAAAATACTACTGCCAATCAAATCAAGTGAAAAATAATGGAACTATATAAATGAAGTTAAGAAGTCATGTGAATACCTTGATATGATTATGAGCAGTCATAAATTGTGCTCGAAACGTCATCAGTAAACATTACTGTGTAACACTGTGGACTTTATCAAAACAAAATTTATCCGTAATAGAATTACACTCTACCACAGTGCACAAGTTTTATTGTTATATCTAGGTCAATCGCGAGCCCAATAGCTCAGTGGTAACGTCTCTGACTGCAGTACTCACTGGCTGACGCGGGTTCGAATCTCAGACGAGGGACATGAGTTCCTTCAAGGCTGTAGATACGCGTTGCTGACTGGTGAGTGCCAACTAGCACGAAACTTAGGTCGAAGGCTTCCTGTGGCCAATTGCCTCCAACTATCTAAGAATCAAGATTATATATTTCAACTTCAAGAGAACTAATTTGAGAAGGAATATATTTTTCTAATTGTGTAAAAAATGAATTTATTTTTCAAAACGATAATAACACCAAATGGAATGGAATAAAACGGCTTATTGTTCATTTCGTCAGTATCCATTGTCGACTGTTAACAACACGATTAATGAAAACCAATAGTTTCATTATAATTTTTAATATATTACAAAGTTCATTAGAGATAAAGTGCAGAACAGTAATTACAGATGATCATAGTATATACATGAATTAGAATTTTAATTTTGTAAAATATAACGATTAAAATTACCCGAATAAAATAAAGAGCGAGTAGCACTGATGCAAAACACTTGATTGATGGAGAGTATCAGGTAGACATGCGTCGGTGGCACAGAGGTAGAATGCTGGCCAACCACGTATCTGGTCTGGGGTTCGATCCCCAGACAACGCACTCCTTTACATCGCTAAGCCAGTAACAAGACTGGTTAAGAAGGAAGGTTGGTTGGGCATGAAGCTAGCAACCCCATCCCGTGAAAAAATAAATACCACTGCTAAGGAATCTTCAAGTCTCTAGCTTGGAGACCTATGTTCCACTGGGAACGCAAAGGAATATAGAAAAATCAGGCAGACAGCTTGAATCCTTTCAAAACAATAAATAAACAATCGAGTACAAGCCTCTTGAAGTTCACAGAGATCATATCCTTATCAAACAATTAAAATGTTAGCCATGTATTTACAAAAGAAGCTGTAATAGGTCTTTCTCTATCTTGGTAACTAAGCTTTTAACCTCAGTCGATTAAATCATCTTTTATTAAATGTAGATATTGATTTATTTCCACTTTTACTTGGTTACAATCCTAATTTATTCAATGTCACGCTTTATGTTTGATACTTGATATAAACTTTCTGATTGATTATCGTATGTGAATTCACAGTTTCTGTTGCCATCCTTACTCTCCACCTTTTCCGTGAAACTTCAGTTACATTATATATATATGATTACAGTGGTATCATGGGTGTGCACTTCTGACGGGTCTCAAATTAGGACGAAACAGCTGTCTAATACTGCCTCATTTTCCATGGTTTGTCTAACTGATGTCAATCTGTGGTCTAACTTGAACCAATATTTCCATATTTTGATTTAGTTGTGTCCTCTGAGGAACTGGTTGATTTAATTGCGAAGATTTTAATATGCAATAAATTTATTTGAATTCTCTATGAATGATATAGTTGTATCGCCTGACAATCACTATCGTGATCGGTTGTTAATTTACATCTGTATATACCTGGAATTTGGACTTTCTTGTCATATGCCTCTTCCATGTGTATCTCTCGATTTGATTGTTCCTGTGGAGCCAATTACTTAGGCCGTATAATTAGGTGTGTTTATCATTGGATTTCCGAACACCATCCTGCGTGGTTAAGTAAGGGACAAACGAAATTCATTCATAACTCTATTGTATATCCCTCATCTCGTGGATACAGAACACAGATTGATGTTGACGAGGCGGCTTTCAGAGTGATCTACCGTATACTAACTAATCTTAACCTTATCTTAAGAGTTCGTCTACTACATATTGCTGAGGCCGTTGGGATATACATTAAGAAACCTAACTTATGTGTCCAGAAGAAGTTGGTTCAGACACTGCCCTTACTCTTTGTGTGCTATATGGAGTGTGGCGACTTGAACTGCCGCACATATGTGCAAAGTTCTATGTTGAAAACAGACAGACAGACAAACTGTTCTTACTCTGGCCTTCAAGGCTTTAATGATCCTCAGTATTTTGTGGAAGTTTCATTAATTTTATTTTATACTCTATTTACTATTATATTTTTGTGCTTATTATAACTTAAGTGTCTTTCTTGAACTGTAATTTTATTGATCTTAACAAATCGATAGTATTTAAAAACACCAATATTGTTAATGACGATTATTCCAGAATATCAAAAAGAATATTCTGTGCTCGATTTTTTTTACTTGTTATGAGCTGATAAATTCGGTCTATAGTAATGTTAATTGTTGACTTAATTGAGTACCAGGCCTCTAGAAATTCCCTAGCATTTTTGGTGTTCAATCTATTTAAAATTTCTACATTATTCAATCAAATTGGTGTCTGTAATTATTTACATTTATCGATACGAAAGAATAAAAATATATCGTGCCTTTTTACAGCTAATTTACGTCCTTGAATTCTGATTTGAAGGGACGCCAACCTGAGCTATTATTTTCGTATCGTACCAACTCTTAACATCCACTTCATCTATACACCACGATTCTGTTTAATTATTGTTCTTCATTTTACCTCCAATGAGGTTAACTTTGTTAAAATTGTAATCAAACTATTAACTTACATTATTCATGGTTGTATGTAGTTAATTAGACAGTGACGAAGTGAACAACGGATCCGTTTTACCTACTCCATCTGCGTTGTAGTTGCTTTCGCCTCGTTCACATGAATTATGGTTTGAAGTCAATTGGTGGATGGTGACTAGCAGTGGAATACAGGATAATGCGCATTTCGTCCTATTTGGGACTCGTCAGCCAACTGGATGTACCTGCATTTCCCAGTCAGTGAGTGATGATGTTCCCACCAGAGGCTCGAACCCAGTGCCCATGGTTTGAAACGCCAAAGTGTTATCCACTAACCAATTGGGCCACGAGAGCCACCTCTTGTACAACGGGTCATGCAAATTATTTAATTGAATTTTTAGATTTTCCCGTCGATTGATTGGACCGGATTGCTCGGTCTCAGGTTGACATGTCGGCTCCTTGTGCAGGTGCTTCGACGATGTCTGGAAATTTAATTAGACGTTAATTTTTGGATGGTGACTAGCAGTGGAATCCAGGATGAGCATTTCGTCCTACTTGGGACCGTGCACTTCCGTTCAGTCAGTCGATGGAAAATCTACAGTTGAATTAAATGAATAACAGTTTCCTTAAACATTGTTTTTTATGGATAATTCTTTTTCATTTTCGCTGATTCGTTTCCAATTCATATTAGACCGAAAGTTGTAATAATCCTGTAAAGAGTACCGTGAATGTTTTAGAAACTGCTGAGAATTCTTTAATTCTTGAAGAGTCAACAAACATCGATTCTCCCACATCATCGTTCATTCCCAACTCATTAAATAATGATTATAAGGATCCAATCCGAAGAGTACGTCCAGATGCTTACAGAAAATCTATGCAAGCAAGAAGAGTAAGGTCTTTTTCTTTCTTGTTCAACTATGCATTGATTATTTTTGCACACAGTTTTTTCATTCCCTTTAGGTTCCGAGGGGAACATAGGCTATCAACAGCATATCTCTACTTCGTCCTGTTCCCTTCAGCTGGCTTCACGATTACCTGCATGTTACTGTCTGACGCTCAGCCCAACTCATCGTTTCCTCTTCTATTCCGACTTGAAGACCTGACACATGATGCCACCCAACAGTTCTTCTCAGTGCTTCTCCGATCCTATTTCCATTTTCACTAGTATATTTTTACGAGTTGACCACGGATTGATATCGGTTATAGAACCATTGAAAACCAGGACAGCTGTTTCATCCTAGTTTGGAAATCATCGGACCTCCCCCCCCCTTGCCAGGTCTCGAACCCAGGGCCTTCCAATTACAAGGCAAGCTCGTATACCATTTAGCCACTGGGACCCGACTCAATGGCCAACGTATGAATTCTAACTTCTACCAATTCTCTAATTGATATCAATCCGTGGTCAACTCATAAAAACCTAACTAACCCTTACAAATGAAACTATAGAAAAAAACTGGTATATGTGTTAGGCAATAGCTTCTTGGTCTGTTTGGTGACAGAGTTCCTTGTTCTAAATCCTCTCTAACTGGTCATCTGATCTTCAATATGAGGACAAACATAGCTGACACCCCCCGCATCAAGTCCCTGTGCCATATAGAAGCACTGACTTGATATTTTTTGCTTTCATACTCTTTCTAAAATTAATCCATTTCTCGTTTTTATCATCATAGGGTGTTTCACGAAGTTTTAATTACTTGATACTCTTCGTTGATTCCTTTGAGAATGTTTAAACTAGAAAAGAAGGTGGTGTTAAGCAAATTGAAATAATTTCTCGTCTGAATTATTTTCCTAGTTATCGTGAAACTGTTTGCCGTATACAATTTGGAGAAATTTATGATGACAACCTGTGGTTTAATAATAATTATAACAGTAATAATAATAGTTTACTTTATTCCAAAAACAGTACTTATAATACAGAATGGAATTCTCAGCATTTGTCACAATATTGCATCTGATTTACTCAAAATATACATAAAATTAAAAATTGAAACAAAATTAACGAGAGGGATTTATCCACATTTATGATATAAAGTCAAAAATATTGGAAGCACGAATTGAGAATATTACATATAATAATAATAACAGTGAGTTTGTCTGAAACAGTATTGTCGATTCAGTTTGGAAATTTTAGCATGCTATAGATTATTGAATCTAATGTTCTGTTGATTTAGCATGGTGAGAGGAAGGACAAAAATTAACACTTATAACACAGGTTAAATGATGTTCACACTTAAGAAATAAAAAATAAACAAAAACAAAAAATTCAGAGGATTATAAATATAAGAAATAGAATGGCAATAAATTTTGATGTTGTAAGGGTGGAGGAAATGGTTTATTTGGTAGTGCAAAGAAGGTTAGTTAGTTCACGCCTGACACTATTTTCATCACATAAAATACGTGCTAAATATGGTAGAGTGGAATTTTTATACTTCAATGTACCTGCATAAAGTCTTCTGAAAAGACTTCTTGTTTTACCTGAGGAGACACAAGATTGGAGCTGCAGGTAAAGTGGATGCTCACAGTCTAACAAAATTCCTTTAGAAAATTTGTTGAATTAAATCAAGTGCCTTTCAGTGACAATGTCAACGATATGGCCCAATGGGATGCCACTCGTCCTACTGACAGTCTTCAGAGTTCTACGAAGTATGGCAGAGTCTTTTTTAAGCAATCCAGGAAAGAATAAGGGGTGAACAGTAAAGAAGAATAGGTAAAATACGCGAGTTGACAAACTGTAAGAGGAGGGGTTGGGTTATGCCTGAGTGTCTCAACTTCTTAATGTAAAACGTCAGGTGAAATATTCTTATAGAAACCGCTAAGACATGGGAAGACCAGGATAGGTCAGAAGAAAGAATTAATCCAAGATACTTAACTTCAAACTTGATTTCTTTATCACTGTCATCAATTTTGCAAGCATCATAGCAACCAATAGCTTCATTTAACTTTCATTTACATTGGAAACTGAAGTTGACAGTCTGACATTTGGAAGGATTTAGTTTAAGGCCATCAGACGAAGACCATTTGCTAACTCCTGTAGAAAGCTGTTCAACTTAGTACAGTCTAGTTGGGAGTTAACAGACATTGAAATAATGAGATCATCGGCATACTTGACAAAGTTCATTTCATCAGACTCAGGTAAGTCATGCAAGAAGAAAAAATACAGAAAAGGAGAAAGGACAGCGCCTTGAGGGACAACAGACTTAGTAAGCAATTAAGTGGACGACTTTCCCTGACATGCAGTGTACTGCTTTCTTCCTGAGAAATAAGAATGCAGCCATTTGACAACCCAAAAGTCATTTTGAGTTTCAGCAAGCTTGTTTAACAAAATGTCCCTAGGTACTGAATCGAAAGCAGATGTGTAATCTAGGAAGGTGCAGCGAACAAATTTAGCCCCCTTGTCTAAGCTGGAGACAATGTTATTATGCAAGACTGCAGCAGCACCTAGAGTACTTTTACTGTGTTTATAGGCGGATTGTTTGAAATCGTTAAAGGCTTTAAGTGAAGGTTAAAGATTAAGTAAGAGTAACTTTTTCATAGTTTTTAGAACAGGAGAGGCAATAGTTCTAAATTCAATACATGTTCCAGTAGACGACTTAGGTATAGATACAATTTTAATGTCCTTCCAAACGGCTGGCACGACATTTCTGGAAAAAGATTCATTAAATATGTCCATGAGTGGATAACAGGATATCTGCACACTTTTTAAGAATAAGGCTAGGCGAACCATCTGGACCTAGGCTACAAGAAGGGTTCAGTGACTGGAGACATTTTAGAATATCATTTGTATTTAAATCAGGAAGGCAGGTTTTATTAACACTTGTTAAACTAGAAAGTTTGGCATTTGTCGGACAAAGTATGAAAGACTTGATTAGCGTACACACATTAAACGAATAAGGAATATTATTCATCTGCTCACAACCAGTAATTTCTTCAAAAAGTTTCCAAATATTAGAGGCATTTCAACAGGATATAAACTTCTGGTTATAAATTGAATTCAATCTGTGCATTTCCGACTTTATTAGGATGTTAATTCTTTTCAAACTGATGTTATCCTTCATTTTATATCAAGTTAGGTGGAACGACACGTGAACACATCACCTACTTACTGGTTGAAAGAGAAGTACTAAAGATCGTCAACTTATTCCAGATACTACAGATTTAAACGATACAGCGAATTATACAACTGTGTGTGTGTGGGGCGCGCGTGTGAATGTGTCTTGTTATATTGTTATATTCTCAGACTGAATTTTAAAAAAAAACTTCTCAAATAATGCTTCACAGTCAGTGATACATTCAAAGGATTCCCAACAGGCTTCAGGCTTTAATCATCAACATCTGACTTTGCCGCATACTGAAGATCAGTTGGCTAGAAAGTATCGACAACAAGGAAGTCTGGCAAGCAGCAAACCAACAAAGAACACCTATTGCTCAAGATGTACGACAAAAAAGAAAATGGAGATCGATTGAACAATATGCTGAGATAACCGTTGAGTGACGTCGTCCTCAAGGCGTCGGAGGGTGATGTGGACTAGATTGTGTAAGGAAGCGATGAGAGCTTATGTGTATCGTGAAGCCAGCTAAAAAAAGACTACAGATAACACAGTGAAACAAAGATGTGCTGTTGAGGCACTTTGTTCCACTCGGAACCTAAGAGAAAGAATAGTGACAGTTATAAGTGATGCATCAGCTTATTAAGTACGCGTTTATTTTAGAAAAAAAAACAGAACAAAATTAGAAGTTTTAGATGTTAGATCACCTTATCACTTAAAGATCACCTTTTTCCGATCACTGGTAGCATCATGGGTGTGTACTGATGAAGAGTCCCTAACTAGATGACGAAACGACTGTCTAGAAGTCTCTTGTTTTCAGTGGTTCATAATCAAACTTTATATGTTTTATTTATTTTATTTTGATATTTCTTTTGCTTTTCAGTGTGTGCAACACTTAAGAAAGCTGAAATCTCATACAAATATCCGTTATTCCACTTCTGTTATGCCTAACAAAAAGTCTCAAGTCTTATCTACATTTGATAGTAATAATAATAATAATAATAATAATAATAATAATAATAATGGTAATAGTAATGATGGTGATAGCCCCACATCTATAACATGGTATGACTTGGATATTTCGCAATCTCAAAAATCTAAAACAAGTCATGATAAAGTCATCTCTTATGCGGATTATTTAGCCTTACCTATTGAAATACGTTATCCACTTAATTATGTTAGTGATCTATTCGAAGATCTTCATCCTCAAGGTAATATGGACATGAATAGTGAAAGTAATCGTGAAGAATAGATAATTTTATTATTGCTCTCTGTTTTGTTTCGTTTTGTTTTGTTCCTTTTGTAAATGATGACAGACCGATTTTAACTGTTAATATAGCTCGCTTCATTATGCATGGATAGACTAATTACAACACAAAACATACTACAGTTTGTATTTATAACCATTTTTTTTTAAAATCCTTCATATCGAATTGTTTATTTATGTAAACAGAAAATTTTATGTACTTTAATAGATTTTTTCTGTCTATGTATAATCAGGTGCCGATTCATCGTGTCTTTTCATGCTAGAGAGTGTTGGGTAGGTGGCGGATAGGTAATCTGATCGGGAACACAAGATGTATTTTTAGTTGGACACTAGTCAGTAACTTGTGTAATGTGTGTATGTGTGTGTAGTCCTATCTTCGGTGCAGACGGAATTCTATCAGTCTGACTGTAGTACTTACTGGATGACGCTGATTCGCATCTCAGAAGGGATATGTGTTCCTTTTAGGCTGCAGATACGCCTTGCTGATGAGTCCCAACTAACCCGAAACCTGCCAATCGCCTCCAAGCATCTAATAACGCAAAAGCATGCTAGTTGGGGTGCCCAACTCCTGTCTGTAGGATGAGCAGTTTACAAAATGTCTGTCCTTTACTACTATCCCCCAAAACACTTCGTGTTTTACTACCCCTATAAATATTATTAGTGACCTGAGCCAGAGAAACGTCCTCCTTAGTCCCTTGAAACCACACGGCCATTTTCATATTGCAGCTTTCATTTTTAGAATCCTATTTCAAATTAGAGAGAGGAGGCCTTATTAGCTAAGACTTGAGCTTCAAATACCTTTTGTATCTTTGAAGCACTCATCAAAGATCCAAGCGCAGCTATTCAGTTGTAGTCCACCTATCTAATAACGGTGAATCTGAAAGTGTCACACTAAAAGCGTAAAGTTCTCGTTGACTTGGTTATGTGACGACAGTATTTAACTCAGGAAGAGAGAAAATTTATTGATCGATTAGATCTTAGTAGATTGTCATATGTGTTCCACCTGGTCAAATGGATCCGTAAGAATAAAGAAAGATTATAATACTCATAGTTGTCTCTTCCTCACCTCCACTCAAACATTCACTTACCGTAGTTCAGGCGAAGTATAGTTTAAATACTGTGAGATGCTACCGAACACTTGGATTTGGTCACACAGGCAGATGATTTCAATCCTCCAGTAAGGGAATTGAGTTAATCATGACAGCTTTTGAGAATATCAGTGGTGTCCCATGTCGTAGAAGAACTGATGACGGTAACTATCACTTAAGATTTTCCTTAAGTAATTGGATGTTTCAGGTTAGTTATGACTCCAAACATGAGGAAGAAACGTCAACTAGTGACTGCTTATGTCGAGCCAATAGATAAACTGCTTTGCCACAAATTATTGACGTCAAATGCTCAATAGGAGATTACCGCTCCTTCTACGACACATGTGCACGTATGTACGCGAGACTAGGTGGACGTAGATTGCAAGTACATGGCAAGTCTGTATATAAATTTAGAAGACATGAGTCAGCAAGGAATATTCGTCTTGTGATTTCAAAGTAGTGCTGTAATGGTCAGAGAGATGCCTATTACGTCAACTGTTCATATTAGTTGGCAACAAAATATGAAATTATACATCAAAAGAAATAACAAATTATGTAATCTAAAAACAGTAAATGACATAAGCATCGCTCATAAATGATAACTATTAAAAATTTGAAACAATACAAGCACTTGAAAACGAGGACATCGTTCAAAATAGTAAGAGACTCATAATATTGATAGATTGTATTTGAAAGTTAAGAGTTCGAGAGAAAATAATATGAAGGGAAAGAACCGATAAAGGGTCAGTGAACGGAACTATGAAAAGGATAAAAACCTTGTTGGCTTCTTAAGTGAAATAGTTGGGACACTGAGCACAGAAATTTGAGGTAGTCCAAATGGTCTTCATCCTGTTTTGGGCTGAATTCAACACATATTTCAGTTCTTGCCTTGACTGAAAAAAACTATTTCTAATCTAAAATAAGGCGAAGTAGTATGAACTGATACGGATAAATTATTGACTGCGATAAATTGCGTTATCATTAGTGTGTTGGAATTCGAGGGATTTTCACTAGGCTGGGACAAATATTCTTATGATAGTTAACTGTGGAATCAGCCTGTATAATATATTATATGAGATCTTAGGGTCTATAGTCCTGCGAAGACCAAATGAGGTTCAGAAGGATAAACTCAAGAGTAATAGGCAGGCTTTAGGCTCGGATGGTGATACATTGATCAAAGGTTCATCCTAAGGCAGATTCTGGAATACTGACAACTCTTACTTGGCATATTTCTTGACCTGAAGACAGCATTTGACGCCGTCGATTGATATTTTTCATTCTAATGTTTAGCTGCTAAGAAAGTTCCAAAAAGGTATATTATTCCAATCAACACACTCCATACGAAATCATGCAATGTGACTCTAGCCGACTCCGATCTCTCCGGGTTTGAACTTATTACCACAGAAAAGTTGTTATAGACAAGTTGGCGAAATGCAGTTTTCCGAACACATTGAGAAAGAATGTTTGGCATGCATTTCGACTTTATCCAATGCTACAGAACTAATCTGCACCCTAGTTTAAGGATAGTTAGGAAACTGACTGAACATGTGTACTAACTCCGCTTATTTGTGTACTTACACCATCCCTCATACATTCCACTGGGTGTTGACAAAAGCTTAATACGAATATAAGAAGCTTTTTTGATATTTACCAGCTTGAGTCATCTATAACGCGGGCCTGATATCCTGTTGCCAATCATTCAGTGCATGCACCATCCAACACTCCCCTTCGTCCTACTCCATGGCCGTAATCGTAGCCCTTAAAGGCACTTTATAGGTTGGTTTTTTTACCATAGTTACCTTGAGTCGACTACTCATTATGTGGAGATACGTGGTTAGCAACAATGAAGTAAAGCTCTGTCGACTGTGTCACGTATACCGAACCACCGCCCTCGTCAGTCGTCAACAGTAGCTGAAGCATAATTAGGCTGAAATAGAGTTAGGAGTGGTTTGCTTTGTCCCCAGCCATGAGGGGAAGTGTTAATTACATGTCTCTAGTCCTTGGCATACTAAGTATTCTTTATTGTAATCTGTTTGACATGATTGTATATCGCTCACAATACTCCAATTTCATATTAGATCTTAAAAAGATTCACTAGCCTGTGTCATCAATTAAATTGGCTTATTGGAAATACAAGTCTTGCTGATTGTCTCCACAGTGAAAATATGTTAGATTAATCGTTAGTAGTTTGTTTACAAAACCTGGGCACTGAGCGGAAACTAAGCATAATGACCATAAGGTATTTTGTAAAAATATGATTGTTAATGAAATAAATAACTCCAAAGTTGCATTCGGAGAACTCATCCGATCCTCAGCATTGAAATAATAAGAATCATTGACCAAACAAGATATTGGAATTTTGTATTTCAATTTCGCTGCAGTTCTGTAGAAATAAAACTCTTTTCTGTCTACTTGTTATTAGAAGATTTTTAAAAGCCACTAAGTTCTCAGTTGAAGCATGCTTATAATCACGGCCTACTCTACAATATATATGGTATTACGAGTTGATAACGGATTGATATCATTGAAAACCAGGGAGCACTGCTAGACAGCTGTTTCATCCTAGTTTGGGAATCATCGGCAGTACGCATCCACTGCCAGGGTTCGGACCTAGGACCTTCCGGTTACAACACAAGCTCTTATACGATTCAGCTACTGGGACCTGATTCAATGGCCAACCCATGAATTCTAACTCCTACCAATTCGTTGTTTAGCGCGAACCCAACCAGTTTCATCAGTGGGACATCCATCTTCACACGGAACATCTGAATGGAGCTCTCTGGTCACGACTTCCCACTAGAATTCCAGGAAACTCCATCCTGTAGCAAATTACTAGAGAGCATCAGATTAATTCTCTATAGTTGGTTTGTAAGGGTTAGTTTTGTTTTTACAAATTTTCAATGGTTCTCAAACTGGTATCAGTCCGTGATCAACCTGTAAAAACAAAATTAACCCTTACAAACCAAGTATAGACAATATTTATGGTACTCCAAACAATGTTCGCATTAATGTAGATTTATTCAAAAGAAATTTATATTTATAACTGAGAGGCTTTCCGTTGTACTACATAGTTTTGCTACAAGTATAACTCACGAATTACAGAAAGTATTCAATAGTTTCACAATCTTTGATGTCGTCATCACTGACAATAAAATACCAATTACAACAAGTGATTTTAATAAGTTCTCCCAAGGAAACCTATTTGACTTCCAGAGTCACATTACAATAACCTGGAGATTGTGAGAAGCGAGAAGACAGGGTCTACAAGAATTCTCTAGGAGGAGTTCGCGGACTATCCTATGTCTATTGTCACATAAACTCGAAGATCTGCAGGCGAAAATCAACAAGTTGACAGAAGAGGCAAGCAGCAAATATATTGTGGCGTCTGCTACTGATAAGATTTGCCAGTAGTATATAAAGAGATGTTCATCAGCATGAAAACATCAAATAGCAGGGAGATAGATCTGATGCTAGAGAAAGCAAATGAAACACAGTTTGGAGATGCATGGGAGACGTGGAAGGAACATAAAGAAAGACCGTATAAAGGAAGGCGGGAAGTAGCACAACACGGAAGACCTGTGGAAATAGTGATTTGAAGATAAGATGTAGATAATTTAGCTATATAGAGATACCTATTTGCAAGTAAACATTCCTTTAGCAAGTCCTCGTCTACTACCGTTTCAATATGAGTTGAAGTGAACATATAGGATACAGAGTTGATGAAGACAGGTAACCAACAAACAAAATGAAGCATACTACGATCATCTTATAACTACCGAGAAAGCCAAGAACCTGCTGTATATACCTCAGTGCCCAACATCACACAAGGGATTATGTCACAGCCCAATTTACGTGTGTGTGTGTGTGTGTGGTCAGCATACATTATTATCCCCTTGGCTTCCGATTGAGAAACAGGCCGTCAGAGAGGGCCTGGTGCACGATGTCACTTCACTGTCTCCTTAGAGTATGTCTGATCCATCTGCATTTTCGTTGGCATATTTGTTGGATCAAAGGTTCCTGTTTGTTTCTTTTCCAGAATTCTGTGT